CATTCTTCTCAAGTGCACATGAACCTTTTACCAAAATCGACCGTATTTTGGCTTATAAATAAGTCCTAATAAGTTTAAAAGGATTTAAGTCATACAAAGTATTTTCTCTGACCACAATGAAAATTAGAAATCATTAGCAGAAAGTTATCTGGACAATCCTAAAATATTTTGAAACTAAATAAATACCAAGTCCATGCCCCAAGTTTACTAGGCTGTATAGATTTAGGGGTCGGGGGACAGGTTACATGGAAAAACTAAACACACTGAGCTATAGAGTTCACCGGAAACATCTGAGTATACACAGACCCTTTCCATATTGTAGTAGCTCTATGATCTTGGTGAAGTTACTTCTCTGAGTCTATTTCTTAATCTAGACAACGGGAGTAATAGTTCTATTATTGTATGTTATTCTCAGAGTTGTAAGAATTAAATAAGTTAATATATAGAAAGTGTCCTATACTATATCACCCTAGCTTGTATTCATTTACTCAGTGAACATTCTCTCCTTCCATCCCAAGTTCACACAGTTTTTGACAGGATTTGACCTGCAGCCTACATATTCTGATTCCTTAGCATTCATTTTTTGCTGTAATAATTTTCAACCAGTATTCATTTTTAATTTTTATAAAATAGTAAAATAATTTATTTTAGGAAACATATCTTTAAAAATGATATATGCATATCAAATATAAACAAATTATTTGATTCCTTCTTTGACATCTAAAACTCCCATTGGTTTTAAAGGTATCATTGAGTAATAAGTGATCATATTATAACATGGTGATTGGCTCCATGGGCAATTAGAAAATGATAATAACAAAGTCAACCACAAAGATCTCACTTGGAAAATAATGTAAAGACAGTGTTTTACACATTGGTATTGATACAGATTTTATAAAATACTAATTATGCATTTCAACAACAAATACAAAAGAAATTTAAAAACAATGCTCCGAATGCTCTGGAGTCATCAGAAGGCCTTCACCGAGGAGATGGAGTTTGAGCTAGAAGAGGATACAGATAAATAAAAACTCCAAATAATTAAAACCTGAGATATGTACAAAGATAATAATTGATTTTACTTTGTATAATTCTTAATATTATTCGTGCTTTTTTAGAAATCATAATTTTCCCCTTATCAAAATTACTATTAGTTATTGTAAAAAGTGGTTCATGCTTTATATGCACACCATCAACAAATTTATTTATTTTGCACAAACATAACTCCTGTCATCTAAGATATTTAAAATTATCAGCTCCTATCAACATTCAAAAACATAAACATGACAATTTGGCATGAATGCATCTATTCAAAGCCAAATAATATACTCCTTAGGCAAATCATTGTGTTTATGGGCTCATCATTTTGTTCAAACTAATCAGATCATGAAGGAACCAGTAACCTCATTTCTCTGAGCTAAGGTGTCAACACATTCAGATGGTTCTTAGCATCCTATTCCAGCTTTCCTAAATGTTTGAAATCCCATGTGAAGCTCATCACTTTGCTTCTCTTTCTCAGATTGTGCAAATTAAAACAAGCTAGTAATAGTCAATCATCCTTCTCCCTTCTGTCTGCAGTGCTTTTTGTCTCCCACTGTCCATATATTCCCTCCTTGTTTTCTCTTTTTACCTATAGTAGGAATAGTTCAGGGGCAAGAAGACTTTGCTAACTCTGTTAAAACAGAATATTCAGCTCATTCAAGCCATCAGCCATCACCTTTTCTTCCCTGAATGCTTTATTTAAACTTCATCAAAGGGACCCTGCTGATTTCCTGATTGACTTTGTCTCCATAATAATTTTTGAAAACTTTTTAAAGATTCTTCTAAAGTCCTTCTGTCATCTAATTTATAGTTTGTCATGTTCTACCAAGTTTGTGTATATTCTCACTGTCTTAATTTGAGCAAAATCAATCCATATTTGGAAAGATGTCATTTTTTTCCTAAAATAGCTATTGGGCTCTACTAATTGACCTCACAAGATTTTTTAAAATGCTTGATATCTTAGCACCTCAACACAAATTTTTCTTGAGTTTCTCAAAAAAGTTTGTCGCTTTTTTATTATTAATAGTGTCAGAGCATCTTGTGAACTGTTAATGCTTATATTAGTCACTTATTGTTAATTACTATTAACAATTATTAACTATGTGATTATTAATTATTATTGAACGTTATTTATTATTAACTTATATATTAATGTTATACCTTCCAACTTTTCCAAATGTTTTGCATTTGATTTCTCCTTTCATAATTCTTGATTTGTCTATGCCAGCGTGGCTGAGACACAGTGATCAAATGAGAAAAGTAGTGGAAGTCAGATTGGAGGAATCCAGGACTGCCACCATATATAGTGTTTAAGTTGCATCCTGCACCAGGCAAAGGCAGCAAAGGGAGCTGGAATCCAGCCTGCTCTCTGCTCATCAAGTCCTATGCCTGGCATGAGACTATTCTCATCTAAGGAAGGGGTGCTTTGTGAGTTTACACAAATGTGTTATATGGGCTGGTAGTGGCCCAGTAAAAGATCATATAGAGAAATTTTGATATATCAATGCATTGAGAAACCTCAAAGAAGGAATAAAAGAATCTAATTTATATTTTGTAAAGAATACCGTGCTATGTGTAGTAGCATGGAGTGGAGAGAAGCAGGAGTGAAAGTAAGGAGGCCAGTCAGGAAGTGATGGTGGCCAGAACTAGGTGATTAGGAAGTGCTGATGGAAATTGAGACATAGAGAAATGGATGCAAAGCATCTTTTGAAGGTAAAATGAACAGGATTTTGTGTTGTATCGGGTGGGGAGAATAAGTGCGAGAAGTGTGAAACATGATGTTTCAGCTACTGACTTGAGTGAGTAGATGGATAGTAGAGCTGTATCCTGAACTAAGGGGGAAAAACAGGCTTTGGGAAGGGAGTTGTTACAAGATATCTAGGCCATACAATTCACTGGAGGCATCTGTGAATTGTCTAAATGGCTACCAGAAGGCAAAGTGGATATAAGTACCTGAAATTCAGAAGAATGTCTTCTTTTTTCTGAGGACCTCTGAGATTTTCTTTGTCTTCAGCAGTCTGAGAGCAGCCCATCTGAATAATTCTATAATGTTGGGAAAAGATCATCAGTAGCCTATTATACAAACAATCCCGAAGGTTATTTTGAAAGAGCCAAAATAACTCCTTGCATTCAGTACTATATAAACATAATTACTTTGTCTTCAGGTAAATGCTCAGTCCTATACACAGTACAATAAAACCTATTGACCCCACACTGGGGCTAGTCTTCCATCTAGTATTTTATGTAAAGGGCTTCCTGTAACTTTCTTAGCAAAATTTGAGTCTTTGTACCCTGGCTTCATTGTTCACTTGAGAAATTTAGATTGATCTCTTTCCTTGTCGTGTTGGCCTAAATCACAGTCACAATTAGTTGTGAGTTTTTCTCCCAATTTACCTGGCGTTACCCTCTTTTAGAGTTTATTATCATGGCACAATGTAAATCTAGAGCCAGCCTGCCTCTGGGATTCCCTTCTTTAATCTCTGTAGATGAACTCCCAAGAGTAAATGACTCCAGTACTCACAGATTTGTTCTCTTTCTTGTTTCAGTAGGTAGAGCCAAAACCAATGGTTTAAAACCACATGGAGAGAGGTGTTGGCTCAACTGCAGGAAAAACTGCCTAATGCTTAGTAGAGTCTGAAAATGGAAATGCCTTCTGGGGAAGGAGTGAATTATGGTTTCTGGAGGTGTGAGGCACCCAGCAACCACTCATTTAGTATGGAGTCAGTAGTAGAGACTGAAGGGTCAGGGTGTGGAAGTAATCTCCACTATTAAATTCCTACTTGTGTTAGAGCTTCACACAAAAGCTTTGCCTCCTTTAATCCTTGTAACAACCCCTAACGGAACTAGTTATAATCCTAAAAGGAAGGGTTACAGACACAAACTTAAGATCACTCAGTTAGCAAGTAGCAGAGCCAGGATTAAGAGCCAGGATTTAAACTCAACTCCATCTGCATCCAGAGTCCTTGCTTATTCTTTCTACAATTCATAGAAACACGAGAAATTGAATTAGGGGATTTCTAAAGTCCCTTCTAGCATTATGATTCTATCTGAGTCAAAATATGGAAACAACCGTTCTTCACCTTTCAATGGGGTTACATCCTGATAAACCCATCATAAATTGAAGGTATTGTAAGTCAAAAATGGATACTCTGTAGACATGATGGAATGTGAAAACACAGTATCTAACAACACTGGCAACACAGTACATACAGTGTAGAGGATCAGTTGTTTGTCCTCATGATCACGTGGCTGACTGGGAGCTGTGGCCACTGACACCACCTAACATTCCAGGAAAGTATCATGCTGTGTATCAATGGCCCAGGAAAAGATCAGAATTCAAAATTTGAAGTACCATCTCTACTGAAGATGCATATTGCTTTCACACCATTATAAAGTCGAAAAATCATAAGTCGAACCATTGTAAGTTGGAAACCATCTGTGTGGGCATCACTGACTCTTTTCCTTTAATCATCCTTCCCACTTTAGTCACATTAAAATGACAATCTTCGATTCCAAAACTTTCTATGACCTCCATCAAGAAAGAGCCATTTGAAAAATCAACATTTGTATTTTGTATTTCCTCTGAGATTTGAGCAGATTTTAGTCTAAGGCCCTCAAAATCTGCTTAAAAACAAAAACTTTAAATTTTCTGAGTTGCTGGCAAGAACTGAGTTTACAGTATAAATGAGCAAATAACTAAGCTTTTAGTATTTCTGAAAACTGTCATATATTTCTAACTTCTCTACCAATTTTTCAGGTCTTAGAAGGTGTTGAAATATTTGGCACAAGGTCAATTTTTCTGGCCCAAGTTCTAAGTCATATTTTTTTAACACTAGAATTTTAAAAGTAGTTTAAAAATTTAATGTCAGAACATTTTAAAACTTAGAGTTTGAAAATAAGCTTAATGTACTTATTTTAAGGTAAAATGGTTTTACATGTGTTTTAAATGCCATTTTTAGATTGAAGCAGAACTTGCCAAGGAAAGGGCCCAGCACTTGGTTGAATTTGAAGAGCAAGCTCTTCTCTTTAAGGAAGAAGCAAAACTGAAACTCGATATTGAAAAAGAAAAACATCAAGATATAATCCAAAAGTATAAGAAAGAACAAGAGGAATTACAAATGAAGGTCTGTAATTATGACATTTATCATTATTTGATAGATTTGAAACTGCAGCTGTTATTTCCTCCTTAGAACACTACAGTATTTATAACTCCAGTTCCTTTCACTCATGGTCACTGTGTCTTGGTTTTAGCCATGCAGGTAAGGTGATTTGGCTAATTCCCCAGAATGTATAACTAAGATAAGTTATACAAGCATGTAATCCTGCTACATATGAATTTTTTCTACTGAAATAAACTTATTTTTTAAACAGCATAAATTATATGACTAAAAATTAGTATGGCTAGATATTGCAACACCTCAAATATCCAACATTAAAAGTTAATGAGGTGTTTTACATAATTAAAATTTTCCCAACAACTAAAGCCTTTAATTGCAAATATTTTTCATTCTCAACATTTCTGAATGAAGAGAAATATTTTTAAAATGTTATCACACCTCCCTAAATTGCTTAAATAGTATGTTCTAAGTATAAAAGGTCTTGTTAAGGTTTTTCTGTTTTTATAGGACTTGAGTGTAAAGTGTATATGTGTGTGCATGTGTGTATGTGTATTAATCAAGACATCGTGGGAAAATAACATTTTGAATAAATGCATTAAGAGTCTGTGTTAATTAAGCATCAGACAAGAGCTAATGGCCTCTACATTTCTATACTGCAGGTGTGGTACATCCATTTCAGTAGTCCATTGTAAACAACAGGCAGCACCAGCTATATGTGTACACCCAGTGCAATAGCACATGGTCCCACACTCAGAAAGGCCTCATGCTTTGGATTTAATGCTCTGCAGATACTACCTTGAAATTCTTAATAAGCTAGCCAGGCATGGTGGCTCATGCCTATAATCTTAGCACTTTGAGAAGCCCAGGCAAGAGGATCACTTGAAGCCAGATATTCAAGACCTGCCTGGGCAACACAGCAAGACTCTGTCTCTATTTAAAAAAAAAATTAATTGGCCTAGTATGATGGTTCATACCTGTAGTCATGGCTACTTGGAAGGCTGAGAGAGGAGGTTCACTTGAATCCAGGAGTTGAAGTCTTCTGTGAGCTATGATCACACCACTGCACTCCAGACTGTGCAACAGAGTGAGACCCCTTCTCTAAAAGAAAAAAGAGTCTTAGTGATTTTATCTTTGAATTTGTGTTTTATAAGTGAAATTCTATTGGAACAATGGAGCATATGCCATAAACTTAGAGCCTTGGCTCCCCCCAAGGTTCTGCCTCCCCTAGAGGGTTCTCACCTCTTGCTTGCTGGATCCCCATGCCCCAGGCTCCACTGAGTCTCCGCCTTTCTGCCTCCTTTCCCTCTGACTGCTGTTGCAGCCCTGGGTGGCTCAGGATTGCATCAGCAGGAGAATGCAGACAGGCAGGCTGGAACTTGCCAGATGTTACAGTTTCTCAAGAGAAGTCATAAATCCACATTTTGTAAGTGAAACCTCCTGATTTTTAAATGTAGACTGCCTTAAAAAAAATAAAAATATATTTGTGGTTATGTGAACCTCCTCTCCCAAGGATAACTTGCTTTATTTCAGTGTCAGCAATCCTCTGGGTGATGGAAACAACTGTGCAGACCTGACAGTGACCTTCTTCCCTCCTGGATTAATTGAAGATAATAGAATATTAATTTATAAAATTATGAGTTGTGGTGAAGAGATTTCTAACACGTTATTCTTTCTGTAAATTTAACATTTGAAACAAATTGTGGATACATAACTCTTTTTATGTAATAGTTCACAAAGTCCTTGGAATCTTGGTCTATGAATGTTTTCCAGATTCTTTGTGGGCTAGTTTCTTGTTGTGCTAATATTTATAACATGACAATAATTGAAGCATAAATAATAAGGATATATTTCATTAGAAGCAGCTCTGCTCTTCCCTGTTTCGTTGTTTTGTTTTTTAAGCAGAAAGAAAACAAGTAGTCTTTTCCCTTCTAAAGCTTCTCCAAGTTATTCTCTCTTTCATTTATCTAAAGGTACCACCTTGAGAAGCAGTACATTTTCAGGGTATTCAGGTGTTTTCTACAACTGCGATGTTCATCATGGTAGTCATATGTGGCTACAAAAGTTTCCACTAAATTAATTAAAATTAAATAAAACTTAAAATCAGTTCCTCAGTCACATTAGTCATATATGAGGTGCTCAGGAGTCAATACTGTTTTTTGAGAGCTATGGTTAGAGTATTTACACAATGGAAATTAGATAGAAATCTTGCTTTTTTTTTTTTTTTTTTGACAGTCAGTTGGTAAACATTTACCAGCATGCCACTGTCAGTACCCACATGTGGCTTGTGGCTGCCATATTGGATAGCATAGAATATTTTGCCACAGAAGGTTCTGTTGGGCAGTACTGTTCTGGAAGGCATAGTATCTAGAGTTCCTCCAGCCATTATATACAAAAAAAAAAAAATGTCAAAGGAAAACTTGAGTAGAGTATAACTCTAGTGCTCTCCTCCTTGCATTCACCAAAAATCAGGCATTTTGAGATCCCAAAGCCAACCTAATTAGGTCCAGATAGGCCCTGATCTACTTGTCAAGACTTGAGCTGGGGCTGGGAACAGTGGCTCACACCTACAATCCGAGTACATTGGGAGGCTGTGGCAGGAGGATTACTTGAGCCCAGGAGTTTAAGACCAGCCTGGGCAACATCGAGAGACACCATCTCTACAAAAAATAAAAAATTAGCTAGGTGTGGTGGCATAAGTCTATGATCTAGCTACTGGAGAGCCTGAGGTGGGAGGATCATTTAAGCTCAGGAGGTCAAGACTGCTGAGAGCCATGATTGCACTACTATACCACTGCACTCCAGCCTTGGCAACAGAACAAGACCCTGTCTCCAAAAAAAAAAAAAAAAAAAAGACTTGTGCTATCCTTTGCAGCTTAACAGAGTGACAGAAATTTATATATTTCCAAGAGTGCCCAAGGGATACTATTTTAAGCAGAAAAATAAATGTTTTAGTCTTAACTTTTAAAAAGAAAATCTTGAAGGCCTGCATGTCATGGATTTGTTTTCATCTGATCAAGCAAGTACACTGATTAATGAGAATAAACCTCTTAAAAACCATGAGAATTCTATGGTAACCTAGAAACTATTGCCTACAAGCTAATATGAGATTTATCTTACAGATATCTGACTTAATCACAGGCGCTACAAGCGATCTAAGGCAGGAAGTGACTGCTCTTCAAGAAAAACTTCATGAGTCCCATATTCAGTACACTGAAGAATCTGAGTCAAAGGAAAAAGAAATTGAAAACCTGAAAAATTTGGTTGCAGAATTTGAATCTCGCTTGAAGAAGGAAATTGATAGTAATGATTCAGTTTCAGAAGACTTGAGGAAGGAAATGAAACAGAAGTCAGATGAACTGGAAAGAGTAATGCTGGCTCAAACACAACTGATAGAGCAATTTAACCAGTCCCAGGAAGAGGTAGGAAGCAGACGGTGGTACCTTTGCAATTAATCAAAGAGCACATGTTCTTTCAACAAACAAAAACGTGAAAGGCAGCTTAGTTTCATGGAAAGCGTCCTGTCCTGGACTGTTAGTCTGACCCGAAATCACATCCTGGTGTTCTGTCCTTAACTCCAGGCAGTCATTTATCTTTTCCAGACCTGGCTTTCCCTTAAACTACATAATCTCTAAAGTTTCTTCAGCACCCAGTTCTTTGTTGCAAATAACTATTTTAAACCTCCAAGACTGGGAATCTTTATGTATTTATGTCTTATTTGTTTTAACATTAAATTTTTGCCAAAGAAACTTTTAGAGCAATTGCTGCCTATATTTATAAAAAAGTAGCCTATGTCTTTTAAATACAATTTTACCTTAGGTTTTTACCTTCTTGTCAATGTAAACTTAATATACATGTGTCAGTTTTCTTTCTTACGTATGCATGATTATTTCAGTGGTGTTTTTCATTCAAACTGGAAGACTCATTTTGATTTGAAAACTAAGCAGTTTAGAAATAGTGGAACAATTCATCTGTTTTCTAATCACCAATATCATATCATATTATAATATTTGATCCCTTTGATGAAAGTATAGCAAATAAAGGCAAATGGAGGAAGATTCTGAATGTTGGTAAGAAGTAATATTTTTGTTGGTTTTATTGGCATTAATAAAGACATAAAAGGAAAGTGCTAATACAATATTGATTAACAATTAAATATGCCATGTTCTTGCTATATTTAAATTATCAGCCAAATAGAGTTTATGTCATCATTGTAATTATGAAGTGAACCTATTACAAAGAAGTTATAAATATAAGATAAAATATAGAATAGACAGAATACTGAATCAAGAATAATGCCTAAGACAGCTCTATAAGTAGAAATTATTTACATGTTACAAATGAGGAAGTGACTGAAGAAGCCTGAATATTTTCCATAAGGTCAGGCAGCTTGGTGGAGCTAAGATTCAAATTTGAATCTCTATGATATGATGTTTCCTCTTTTGGGAAACCTAGTTATTATTCTGCTTCTATATTTCACAGGAACCACGGACTTGGCAGTTAACATCTCCAGGCCTCAATTTTCTTTTAGTATTATAATTAAGACAAAAAGATGATTAAGTGTATCTTGTTATGCAGCAGCACTGTCCTCCCAGTAAAGAAAGCAGTATCCCCAGTTCAGGCAGGAGTAAGATGAGAGAGCACATGTGGACTCAGCTACATTGGAGAGACCCTGAGAAAGAAAGAGGTGATGCTGATTTGCCTCAAATGAGACAGTAGTTGTGAATCTCTAGAGGAGGGAAGCAGGGTAAAGGACAGAAAGGTTGAGGCAACTAGACTGGCAGGTTTTCTAACTCTGCAATCACAAAAGAAATGACAATATAGAGAATGAAGAGTAACTTATAAACTAGGACAAGTAGAAAAAGACGGAAGGGTCAAATTCAGTAAACGTATGTTAGCATCTGTGTTACTCTGTTCTTGCTTTACTACAAAGTAATATATGAGACTTGGTAATTTTTAAAGAAAAGAGGTGTAGTTGGCTCATCGTTCTGCAGGCTGAACAGGAAGCATAATGCCTGCCTCTATTTCTGGTAAGGACCTTAGGAAACTTACAATCATAGCGAAAGGTGAAGGAGAAGCCAGTGGATCACATGGTGAGTGAGAGAGGAGTGGGGAGGTGCCACATGGTTTTTTTTGTTTTGTTTTGTTTTGTTTTGAGACGGAGTTTCACTCATGTTACCCAGGCTGGAGTGCAATGGCGCGATCTCGGCTCACCGCAACCTCTGCCTCCTGGGTTCAGGCAATTCTCCTGCCTCAGCCTCCTGAGTAGCTGGGATTACAGGCACGCACCACCATGCCCAGCTGATTTAATTTTTTGTATTTTTAGTAGAGACGGGGTTTCACCATGTTGACCAGGATGGTCTCAATCTCTTGACCTTGTGATCCACCCGTCTCGGCCTCCCAAAGTGCTGGGATTACAGGCTTGAGCCACCGCACCCGGCCGGTGCCACATGTTTTTAAACAACCAGATCTTGCGTGAACTAATACAGCAAGAACTAATTCATCAACAAGGGGATGATGCTAAGCCATTCATGAGGGATCTGCTGCCATGATTCAAACACCTCCCACTAGGCCCCACCTCCAACGTTGAGGATTACATTTCAACATGAGATTTGGAGGTAACAAACTTCCATACCACATAACAGCATCTATCTGGGTGCCAGGCACATGTTAGGTCGGTATTGGTGTTGTAATTATGAATAAGACTGACAACTGCCACTTGCTGCTCTCAAAGAAGAATTTAAAGAAAACTTTGCATGAGTAATTAAATTAATATCCAAAGGAAAGAATGATCTAAACAGAAATTTATCATATAGCAAGCATGACTTAAAGCTGGAATATTTGCCTTATGAGCCTGTATAAGTAATATATTTCTATGAGACAAATTATCCCCAAGCTTAGCAATTTCAAACAACAAACATTTATTGTCTCATAACTTCTGTGGGTCTCTGGGTTAGAGGCTCAAGTTCTCTCCTGAGGTTTGTGTCAGGGTGTCCACTGGGCTACAGTCTCATCTAGAGGCTCAATTAGGATGAGATTGGCTTTCAGGCTTACTTATATGGTTGCTGGCAGGATGCATTTGGCCAGAGGCTTCCCTCAGTTTCTCCCATGTGGACCTCTCAGTAGAACAGCTCAGTGTGTCAGCTGACTTTCCTCAGGGCAAGCAAGTGAGTGAGAATGAGAGAGAAGGTGCCAAGACAGAAGCCACAGTCTTTGCAACCTAATCCCAGAAGAGACATCCCAGTGCTTCTGCTTTAATCCATTCATTACATATCAATCAATAAGTCCAACCCATACTCAAGGTGAAATCATTGCACAAAGATGTGAATGTCAGGAGGATAAGGATCATTAAGTGGCACTTTAAAGGCTTCCAATCACAGGGCTTCTGGAGGTGATTTTAGGAAGAGAATATAAACTTAAAGTGAAGAGTGGATTTCTTCATCAGACAAACTGAGCTGCATTTGGAACTCTTCCTGCTCATTAATTGTTAAAAGAAGCCACTTAGGAATAAATCTTTTTTAAAAAGTGTGGACTGAAAGACATAAGACATTGGGTTGGTAAGTGAATAATCATAGATCATTGCTAGAGAGGAGAAAAGGATCATCCCAAAGGTAAAGAAACCACTTAAGGGTATACTTAGGGGGACAATCAATCTCCTTTTGTGGGAGCAGGGAGGGTACACTAGATTTTCCACTAGAAGTTACCAAAATATCACCTCAAAGTTAACTAATTAGAACTGAACTGTAAGGGTAAATAATTAAGGCTGCTTCTCTAGCTAAGCATGCCAGAGTCCAAAATATGCTTATAAAAATAGGAAACGAGCCAATAAAAGGGATATAATTTATGAGCCAGAAATAATAGAGGCCATAGCACGTAAAGTGAAAAGCACCACTTTTTTTGATCATGCATTCCAGACACTTGAAATTTCTCAGATTCTGGAGAAACAAAGCTGCATTTAAGTGGAAAACAAATTCCTGTTAGAATAAAAATAAATTAATGGTCTAATAAGGAGGTTAATTAAGAGGAGGAAAGCCCCATTCTCTTTCAAGAGGCCAAATAATGGATGGACTTTGTTTTTAATTGTGTGAAGAAAGATCTCAAGGATAAGAGGAAAGCCAAAGCCTCTGAAGGGCAAAATGGGCCTTCCTAAGTGGAGCAGGGATTATTGGAGAGCATCCCCAGAAACAGCAAGGGTCACAAAGCAGAGCAACAAAGGGTGCAGGTCAATAAACAGGAAGAAAATGGAAAATAAAACTGCTGGAAATGTAAATGTGAACAAAGAATCCCTGAAAAGATACATTAAAAGATTCAAAAGAAAGGACGGAGGAAGGGAGGGAGGGAAAGAGAGAAAGAGAGAGAGAATTAATATGTTAGAGAATAACACTTATCAATAAAACCAAGTCAAAATAGGTCATTTGCCTCCTGATACCCATTTTTCTTCCTGCTGGTTCCATGTGAGTACAGTCAAGACAGTGTGACCCCACTGTTAGGGACCTTGTTGTGATCCAGAGGAGGAATGTGGTAAATTCAAATAAAGAGCTCACAGTCACTAAAGAAAAATAAGTACAGACAGTTCAATATTTTTGTTGTTTTAAGACCACACATAAGGGAGCAAAAAGAGCAGAAGTTTCTAATTCTACAGTTCTTGTAATCATACAATGAAAATAAGTGATACTCAAAAATAGAAAATAATGTTTTTGGTTAAACATGGAGAATTGAATACCTGTGTTTATCTCCATTTCATTCCAAATGGCAATAAATTAATAAAAAGTGATTAAATTCATTAGGACAAAGAGAACAGGAGAGGAGTTAGCAATCGATAAAAAAGATACTGACCAAAGCTTAGAAAAATGAAAGGCAAATATCTTAGAGATAACTGACTTATCAGACTGTAGAATATTGAAACTGAACGCCTATGAGGATTAGGCATGGGAGGATCCATTATGGAGAAGATCTAATGTGACAACACTGGAGAGAGGCTTAGGAACTGGGGAAACTAGATGCAGGCATAGCTTGTTTTATTGCATGTGGCTTTATTGTGCTTCACAGATATTGTGTGTGTTTTTTTACAAATTGAAGGTTTGTGGCAACCCCTCTGTCGAGAAACTCTGTTGGTGTCATTTTTTCAACTGCATGTGCTCACTTTATGTCTTTGTGTCATAGTTTGGTAATTCTTGCAATATTTTAAACTTTTTCATTATTATTATATCTGTTATGGCCATGTAACCAGTGTCTTTGATGTTACTATTAGAGTTGTTTGGGGGTGACAAGAATGGTGACTATATAAGACAGCAAACTTAATAGATAAATGTGTGTATTCTGACTAATCCACTGACTGGCCAGTCCCCTGTCTCTCTTCTTTTCCTCGGGCCTCCCTGTTTGCTGAGACACAACAGTGTTGAAATTAGGCCAGTTAACAACC